TTTGAGGTCAGAGGGATCTTGTTCAATTTTTTTTTTCTCTTGCTTCAATGCTTCTTTAGTACAGTTGTTGCAGTTCTTTGGACCAGAAGGGTTAGTCCTCAGGGAATTGATTTTTGTGCTGCCTCGAGTTTGATACGTGTAAGAGTTGGGGTGTTTTTCTGACCTCATTAGTAGGAAAGGGCTCTAATAGCTTCTTTTCAGTAAAGTGTATGAAGACGTTTTGAAATAAACTGACTCTCAAAGAGAACTTATTGCCGACATCAGAAAGGGACTTTCTTAGGTCACGTGATAAGGAGAGAACTGGAGTACATCGTGACGGTCGGAAAGTTGAGGGGGAAGAAAGAGTAGTATAGGCGCTAATTATCCGTATTATTTACGATTTTGGCTCGTGGAGGGGTTGGAGGTGGAGGGAAGTGGAGTTAGAGGAAGGTTGGAGGTGGAGTTAGAGGGAAGCTGGAGGTGGAGTTGGGGGTGAAGATTGTCCTCAAGATGGCGGTAATCTGGCGGTCAACTTAGGTCAAGTGACCAGCCCCCCCCCCCCTCCCCCCCCCCCAGATGTTGGTCATTAGCCACTCGCCCTTTCACAACAGGCCGGTCCGAGCACCCCATATTGTAGTCCCCTCGACCTGTATCAAATGCTGTTTTGTGGTGGAGCTCCCACCTCTCTAGCCCCTGTACCGTCCTATATTATTAATATACAGGGTTGATGACTAGTTAGGAAGAGATGTGGGGAAGTCAAGGCGAACAACTGTTACTCTCCAGATGTTCCACTAGGCACCGACCCTGTTTTGACATGCGATTAGATCATGACCGGTTGTCGGTTTAAGCTATTGAAAAAGTTGGAAAATAACGTTATGTCCCTTTAACGCGATAAACTAGTTGTTTGAGACAGACAATATCATTATTAGTTATGGATCCAGAGTGGAAACATCCCTTCACCAATCTGATAGCAGGACCTAGGGGCAGTGGTAAAACCGTTTTTGGGCAAACATTTCTAAAACATCTGTACGATATTCTCGACCCGGTCTTGGAGTAGATTATTTTGTGCTCCGAGGAGTGGCAACTCATGTATGCCAACATGGAAGGTGTCATCTTTCGCAAAGACCTGTCCGATATGGAACAATGGTGCCTTGGTAGGCAACGTCTAGTGGTTATAGACGACTTGATGTTCGCAACAGACGACAGAGTCACCAAGTTGTTTCTAAAGGCAGTCACCATCGCGACATCTGCATTATTTATATTGTACAAAACTTGTTTGGGAATAAAAAAGAACAAAGAACCATCAGTCTCAACTCAAATTACATCATAATTTGTTTAAACCCATGTGACGGCTCACATACTACCAACTTGGCCAAACAAATGTATCCTGGCAGCATTGCCTACGTCCAAGAAAGTTTTAAAGACGCGACGGCTAAACCTCACGGTTATTGGTTGTTTGACCTATGACAGGAAACGCCAGATCATTTGTGCTTGTGCAGTGAAATATTTCTAGATCAACATCAAGTTGTTTGCGTGCCTAAATAATGTCCAACAAACTCAAGCAACACATCGAGATGCTGCGCTTTTTGTCCCAGGCGAAACCACACCTCTAAGGATATAATTAAAACGGCCTCGCTAGACCTCATTCATACAGTCTGTGAGTGCTGCCACATTCTGGATCAGAAGCGACATTTGTACCGATACAAACAACAACCTAAGAGCGCTAAAAAAAAAAAAAAAACAGTCAAAAAGCTGAAAGTTTGCAGCACTCCGGTTTTCTCGGGGTTTTATTAACTCCAATTCTAAACGTGGTGAAAGGTGTCTTAGGTACCTAATCATGGCCATATGATAATCACTGATAAATGAAGACATATTGTTGAGGTGACAGACGATCATCACAGATAAATAAACACATATTGTTGAGGTGACAGAAGATCATCACAGATAAATAAACACATATTGTTGAGGTGACAGAAGATCATCACAGATAAATAAACACATATTGTTGAGGTGACAGAAGATCATCACAGATAAATAAACACATATTGTTGAGGTGACAGAAAATCATCACAGATAAATAAACACATATTTTTGAGGTGACAGAAGATCATCACAGATAAATAAACACATATTGTTGAGGTGACAGAAGATCATCACTGATAAATAAACACATATTGTTGAGGTGACAGAAGATCATCACTGATAAATAAACACATATTGTTGAGGTGACAGAAGATCATCACTGATAAATAAACACATATTGTTGAGGTGACAGAAGATCAGTTTAAATAGGATACATTAAATATACTTGAAATAAACTTGATGCGATATGACAACAGCTAGGTCTGAAAATCCACAAGAAAGAGACAAAGATAATGAGAATAAATTTTGCAAACAGGAATATGGATTCTTTTAATGGTATATTTCAAAACGTGGAGTCGTACATCTATTTGGGCATTAATGAAGAAACAGGACCTTTCATTAGTAAAAAAAACAATAGTAAAGTTCCCTTTTCACGCCTTTCGGCGCATCGTCCCATATTTTTACAGACTATCAGCACTCTGTGGGTAATGTGGTCAGCATTACGCCGGCTGTCTTTACTTTCCCAGGACAGCCCATCCTGGTACCCATTTTGGGCTGGGTCGACCTGCGACGTCCCATACCACGATAAAAATCCACGCAGCCTTCAGTGGGTTTCGATCGCGGTATGCTGGCTTACGAGTCGGACTCGCAACGCCTTAGCCACGGACGCCGCTAGGACCTTTCATAGCACTAGGTAATTTGTGGAGGTCAAAAGAAATTAAAACAAGCACAAAACTTAAAATTTTCAATTCTAATGTGAAATCAATTCTGTTGCATGGAAAGGAAACTAGGCAATAACTAATAAACTACAATACTGTTGTATGGAAAGGAAACTAGGGCAATAACTAATAAACTACAATACTGTTGTATGGAGAGGAAACCAGGGCAATAACTAATAAACTACAATACTGTTGTATGGAGAGGAAACCAGGGCAATAACTAATAAACTACAATACTGTTGTATGGAGAGGAAACTAGGGCAATAACTAATAAACTACAATACTATTGTATGGAGAGGAAACTAGGGCAATAACTAATAAACTACAATACTGTTGTATGGAGAGGAAACTAGGGCAATAACTAATAAACTACAATACTGTTGTATGGAGAGGAAACTAGGGCAATAACTAATAAACTACAATACTGTTGTATGGAGAGGAAACCAGGGCAATAACTAATAAACTACAATACTGTTGTATGGAGAGGAAACTAGGGCAATAACTAATAAACTACAATACTGTTGTATGGAGAGGAAACTAGGGCAATAACTAATAAACTACAATACTGTTGTATGGAGAGGAAACTAGGCAATAACTAATAAACTACAATACTGTTGTATGGAGAGGAAACCAGGGCAATAACTAATAAACTACAATACTGTTGTATGGAGAGGAAACTAGGGCAATAACTAATAAACTACAATACTGTTGTATGGAGAGGAAACTAGGGCAATAACTAATAAACTACAATACTGTTGTATGGAAAGGAAACTAGGCAATAACTAATAAACTACAATACTGTTGTATGGAAAGGAAACTCGGGCAATAACTAATAAACTACAATACTGTTGTATGGAGAGGAAACTAGGGCAATAACAAATAAACTAAACAGAGGGGGGAACTTTAGCTTTCGATTTTTATGTTGTCTAGTGTGTTCTTCTATCTTTCCACTTCTTTCTATGAGTGCCGTTCACAATACTTTCTGTTACTTGATTAATTCATAATATTTAACGGCCTCAAATGGTTCCCCCTCTGTTTATTTATTGGAATGACGTATACACACCGGAACCTACCAATCAAATACCTTTCTTAAATGTTTGTGTATTCTAGACAAAGCAATAAGGTTTACTGTGTTCGTAAATTGTTGCTGTGATTGTTATTCGACATTTGCTTCGTTAATATAAATTTCTGTAACCTATGGTGCCATTTCAATGGGTTGAAATGAATTCTGTCTGTATTCCATAGTCGTGGATTTCAAGCTGTACGATAGACATGGCCAATGAGACACCTTTTTTTGGGGGGTGCCTAGTTGACCATGTATCTTAGTGCACTTGTATTCATGGCGAGGCGCAGACGCCGTCTGGAGGTGACAGGTTCAATTCCCGGCACGGTAACTATAGCTTTCGATTTTTATGTTGTCTAGTGTGTTCTTCTATCTTTCAACTTCTTTCTATGAGTGCCGTTCACAATACTTTCTGTTACTTGATTAATTCATAACAAATAAACTACAATACTGTTGTATGGAGAGGAAACTAGGGCAATAACTAATAAACTACAATACTGTTGTATGGAGAGGAAACTAGGGCAATAACTAATAAACTACAATACTGTTGTATGGAAAGGAAACTAGGGCAATAACTAATAAACTACAATACTGTTGTATGGAGAGGAAACTAGGGCAATAACTAATAAACTACAATACTGTTGTATGGAGAGGAAACTAGGGCTAACAAATAAACTTTAATACTGTTGTATGGAAAGGAAACTAGGGCAATAACTAATAAACTACAAACATTCGTTAAATGGTGCCTGTGTAGAATAGTGGGAATTAAATGATATGATAGAATCACTAATGTAGAGCTTTGGTAAGAACTAAACAAGTTTCAATGGACCAAGAGGTGATGAAAAGACGCTGGGGTTGGATAAGACACACGTTGAGAAAACCTTAGAACAATATAACTAGAATGTCTTTGCACTGTAATCCACAGTGGCAGATAAATAAAGGAGAATGGGGCATAGGGGGGAGTTGAAACGATGGGGAGAACATGGGTAGAGCTGCATGCGATAGCAAAGGATAGAATGACTTGGCGTGAGTTGTTTAAGGGCCTCTGCTCCACTGGGGGTTAGAAAACAAAGAAGAAGAAAACCGAAGGTATCACTGATAATGTAAACACACGTTTGATAATTACTGAAGCAAGTCAACAATTGTTATATTCACAGGTAGTGGGCCGGGTTGCAGAACCGGCTGTCATGCCGTATTATCTGTTTGCACTTACTTACATGGTCGTATACTCACCGTTCAGCCCACATCCAGCAGAATCAGCTATTGCCGCCCTACTGAAGACTGTGCCCCTCTGGTATCTGACCATCTACACCTACAGACGTCGGGCAGAAAAACTGAAACCTCTTCGAGCGCTGAAAACATCCCCAGGTTCTGCAGACTTGCTCAGCAAGGAGGAAGCGACAAGAATCTCTGTGCAGAAAACAGGATTCACCATACGTTCACTAGGATATTTTATAGCGAGCTTACTAGTGTCCAGCTTAGGCGACATTTGTTTAGTTTACAAACATTTATTTATGCCCGGCATTTTCTGTTTTAGCATTGTCCATGTTTTCAACGTGCTATCTCTGCGAAGACATTACGCTACCAGTTGCAAGGCGTGGCTGTCGGTTCCCCTCTGCTTGCTTCTGTATTCAGTCGTACTGTCAGTTCTCAGCGACACTGTTTTCCTGATCATAGTCTTTCTTTATGCTGTCCTCATTCACTCTATGTTGTTTTTTGCCATCGCAGGCTACGAAAGCTGTCCTTGTCCCTCAACCTTGTCCTCTATGCTGGGTGCTTCTCTGTTTGTACTTTCAGATTTTCTGATCGCCTGTGACAAATGGTGGCTACAGACGCCATATTGCCAGTTGAGCATTCTGCTCGCGTATTATATGGCTCAACTTTTGCTGGCCGTAGGCGACTGTTGATAGGCGGGTGATCAAACAATCCAATGCACAGTGTGTCCGATGTTTGCAGACAAACATCTCATCTTCATTATGCTACCCAAAACGCATCAGTAGAACTGATACTTGTACTACATGTGTTACTTTCCTGGCGGAGACGGTCTACCAGCTCTGGCTTTATAGCATTTACAATTACCGACATTACAATCATTTACATCACGTTTACAGCTACCAACATTACAATCATTTACATCACATTCTCAATTACTGACATTACATTAATCTATATTAAGCTCACAGTTACTGATGTTACATTACGTCACAGTCAGTAACACTACAGTCATTTGCATTACGTTTAGAATGACTGGTGTTACAAGCATTTACATTACGTATACAATAAAAGACATTTATTTACTTTACGCCCACAACCACCGACATTACAATCATTTACATTACCTCCACAATCACTGATATTACAATCATTTACATTACGTATACAATCACTGACATTACAGACATTTACATTACGTCTACAATCACTGATGTTACGATCATTTACACTGCGCTCACAATAATTGATGTTATAATCATGTTATAGTTATTGATAATAATATTTAACTCTAGATTATATATAAATAATTGTGATGTTATTTCATTTTGAATATATGCTGGTAAAAGCTGGACAACTACTAAACACGTGAAACGAAAGTTAAAAGCATGGTAAAACAAATGCGTGAGAAAAATGTTGAACATAAAATGGGATGAATTAAGAGGAGATGGAAAGAAGAAAACTACTGGTAACAACAGTTAGAAGGTAAAAATGATGGCGCAAAGTTGGACACATCCTAAGAAGAAGCGAGCAGAGAATCACAAAACAGGCACTAAATTGGGAAATAAAGGGATTAAAGAAGCGAGAACGCCCTAAAAAAAAAAAAAAAAACAACCTAATAAGAACGATTGTGAGAGAAGCCAACGGCACAGGACTGGGTTTTATCAATGATATTGAATTGATTGCACAGGACAAAGGGGAATGAAGGAATAGACTGCGAGCCTTATGTGATTGTAACGGAACCACAGGATAATGATGATGATATTGCCATCACGTACACCACAATCACTGACACTACAACCACTGAGATTACAGCCGCTGACATTACAACTATTCTTCGTATTTTTCTTCTTCTTCTTCTTCTTCTTCTTCTTCTTCTTCTTCTTCTTCTTCTTCTTCTTCTTCTTCTTCTTCTTCTTCTTCTTCTTCTTCTCCTCCTACTTCCTCCTTTTCTTCTTCTCCTCCTTCTTCTCCGTGTCCGTCTTTTCTTTTCCTCCCCCTCCTTCTTCTTCTTTTCTTCTTCTTCTTCTCCTCCTTCTTCTTCTTCTTCTCCTCCTCCTCCTCCTCCTCCTCGTTCTTCTTCTACTACTTCTTCTTCCAGCATTCCGAGCCCTTGAGGTTCATGGCTGCAGCCTTCAAATCCCACAAGCCTCTGGATTTCTTTCCCTGCTACAGTCAGTAAAGGTACGATATTATAAACTGCTGTGACATCTAGTGACTTTAATAATACTAACCGACTTACCGAGAAACATCAGTGAGATGTCCTAAGGACAGTAAGGGTGATCCTGTGATGAACAAGAGACACCGCGATTGTAAGCATGCAAGACATCCTTGCATTGCCGACTATTGCAGACAGGCTGGAGGTGCTGCAGGCTAAGTCATACCTCAGAGTATCTGCGGCTTGAGAGCACCCTCAGTATGAAGCTTTAAATGAAGTTAATCGTCAGAGACTGAAAATGAGAAAATTATGGCGGCCTAAGCAGAAGACACAATAAGACAAGTGTGCATGCTGAAGAACTTTGGGTGATGAAAGGAGTGGGTCAAAGTACCAGAGGAAAAGTCTCAACTATGTAGGGTCATGATCACATTAGGTCGGGAGTGCAGAGAGTGGCCAGCAGGGGCTACTGAGGTGGAAGTCCAACAGTTGATTCACGAAATTTTTCGTTCTGATGATCTGATTGTCTACAAAGATGGTTCTATATTGAGAGGTAAGAGAAGTGCCGGGGGTTTCCTAGCGAAAGCCAATGGAAAATCTTTAGTGCAGGACAGCCTGGCATATGATACCACGACATCTAGCGTGAGAATTAAGTTGGAGACGGTTACTGCAGCTTGCCGGTGGCTAGAGAATAAGATACATACACGTGTCGTAATTGTAACGATCTCTGAAAGCATGTTAAAAAATGTGAAGAAAGGATTGCTTCGAGCAGAATGGGAAGCTTTACTTGCAAGGTCACGGGTAGTGAGCATACTTTGGATCTTTTCTCCAGGCTATGCCGGCGTCTTTGGGAATGAACAGACAGACAGACTGGCTGGATCTGCACCGCTGGGTGGTGAACTAATACATGACGAGGCAGATGTGGTCAGAGCTCTTTGGGAGCAATTAACGAAGTCAGATGAAAAATTATATTATGGGCTGGTAAGAATGACGCACCTGGGTGTGATCAGGGGGTTCGGCCGGCACACTACGTTCAGAAGAAATGCAAGACGGACATACAACCAAACTACGACTGGCACCATTAGCACTGGAACTCTGCGCTGGCTGCTGAGGATGGTGACGAAGTGCGCATAGGAATGCCACGTGTGCTGTAATGTCATTCCTCACTTAGCTCAACCCAATCCAAGGACAGTAACCACCTTACCAAGTAACATACTAAGGAAAGCAAGTAAAAGTTTTTCTGGCACACTGAGCTACTTAAGATGTCCCAAAGGAGAAAGACATTTAGCGACCTAACGTGTCCCAGGGATAGTGACCAACTTTAGCAGAGAACTTTAGTAAACGACTTACCAAGGTCAGAGAGCAACTTGAGAAGTGTCTAGGGTGACTAAGGGTGTCCTAAACGAGAAATCGAGCGATTAATGTGTACAAAGACCGTGAAGGCCTTATAAAAGACATAACCCGCATTAATGTGTCCCGAGAATGTAGCTGTCTTACTTCAGTGAACGACTTACGAAAACCAGTGACCAACTAGAAAGGTACACTGATCGACTTAGCAACGAACTTCAGCGAACCACTTACAAAGACCAGTGATCACGTTGCGAGATACATTATGCGACTCATGATGTCCACCGGGCTATAAACCCCTCCTCTAACTAGTCGACACGACGACATTGACTCTGTCACTGAACATCAGCATGTAGCATCGTGTCTTGACACCAGCCGAATTTGCAAACTTTTCATATTTTGTTATATACAAAAAGTCATAGCACCATTTGCCCCGGGGACTCTTACACCCTACACCTAATTAGCTGACACAACGACTTGATCCCCTTACAGAGTCACAGGTATCTGACACTGCGCAATGAAACCGCCCCTTTTGTCACAATTTGTCTTTTTTTTTGGGGGGGGGGGGGGTCTATATAAAGTCATAAAACAATATGCTGTGCCCCCTAAAGTTCCTCATGAAACTAGCCTACACAACTTGACTTCCTCACTGAGCCACCTACATTTAACACCTCGACATGTTACCCACCACTTTGTCATAATTCTTCATTTCTCCCTCTATATAAAGTCATAGCATCCTATTTTCAGGAGGTCTTGATGACACTCAATGATCTCTAAAACACCTTATGTTACTAGCTGACACGACAACTTGACGCCCTCAACGAGACGCCGGCTTGTAGCACTTTGATGTGAAACCTGCCATTTTGCCATCATTTTTCTTGTTTACCCTATTTCCTATTTAAAGTCATAGCACCTTATGTTTAGGGAAGCCTGATGACACCTGCGTTCCTAAGGCATAGTTGTCGATGACCGCCTATCGCCACCTACCATAACCACAGCTCATCAGCTAATAACCAACTTCACAACAGATTCTGGAGAGATATGGTCATCCCTGCCTGTAGGCATGGCACTTGCTAAGGATTAGGCTGCTGTTTGACCACAAAATACCCCCCCCCCTCCCAGTCTTATCTGACACCTACCCCTATAATCAGTATTATATATTTTGCCCTAACAGAGGTATCATTACCACCCCCCCCCCTGCCTTTCCTTTATTCTACTATTCAATTTATATAAGTCTATTGTCATATCTCTCTGTTTTATTACTTTGATATATTTCTACTTTATAGCACATATACTTTCTATCTCCCACCACTAAGCTCATCGGTACCACTGTTTTTTTTTTTAAATTCTACTATACAACCCCTAAAACGTCCCCAGCACTTCCCGCTGATACTCACTGCAACTCCTGAAAACCATTGGAGCCTCTGCTCTGCCTGCTCCACCACCCACGGCCACATAGCCACAACCACCCCAAGACCTAACTGACCCTTGCCCCGAGTAAAGTGAAACGAGCCTCACGCGAGCCGCCAGGTGACCTATATCGGGCGACGTTACGAGGCTAATGTAAATTGTTTTCTCCCTCTATTTCTTTAGTTGAGGGCAAAGCCGCCTCCTTAAATGATAGGGATTTTCTAAATATTCACTGCTAACACTCAGGTTCTGGAACAAGGCTGGTCCAGATGTAGACCAACAGAACTTTCCGCTAGAGTTTACAGCCTGTGAACGTTAAAAAGAAAAACATATTATAAGTGTATTTCATGCATGGTAATTAACTTGTTGGGTATTCCAAAAGCCTTCACAGCATTCCACAGACTGTGTCCATGTACTATCATGTGCCTTTTTTAAATCTACAAAACATTATGAACATCTCTTCTATGTTCCCAACTTTGTTGTGCTATTTTGAAATCGGAAGTAAATCATGTGCAGTGGTAGGTTAGTGAAAAATTATTTGGAAGCTGCGGAGATTTGGTTTTATGGACGAATGTTGAGAATTCTTAGACAAATCTTTGTTTTTTTTGTTTTGTTTTTTAAACAGAAGCACCGAGCATAGCTCATTTGGGTCAGTGTCGTGAGCATCGAAGCCCTTCAGCCTCGGTGCCACGTACACGGAATCTGGGAATGGGGGGGGGGGGGGTGTGTGCAGGTTTTCTGCTATCCCCCGCCTCGAACCCGAGGCCGGACATGCATGAGAAT